ATATATATATAACAATTATATAAATATATATTAACAATTGCAAAATGCAAATAATAAAAGGTTGACACACTGAAAAAAAATTAAGTCAAATGCACTGTTTACCTTTCTACAAAACAGTTTTGTTTTTCTCTTAGGCCATTTGTAAAATCTGGGTCCTGAAGCCAACAGATGTGAAAGTAAAGTAACTTTAAACATTTAATCGACCAACAGGGGTGGTTCAGGGGGGCTGGGGGCCGGGGGAATCATGAAAAAAAACACCTACATTTGGAATCATGTCACATCAAACAATTCTGGGTGCAATGCGCACTTTGTCCTGTGGGTGGCCGTAATGAAAAAAAGTCTCTAGCTGCTAAATTCAAATCTGCGCAGAGCCAGAAGAGACAGATGCGTTTTTTTGTTTTTGTTTGTTTTTACAGCGCTGCGCCTTATAACCAATCACACGCGATTGTGTTGAGCTTAGGAATGCAATGACCAATCAGATGCGTTCAGATGAGTCATCGCTGAAACGCAGTGTTTTGTTCAGTGCGGGCTTGATGACTGGTTTCTGCTCTCTGGCAAATTTTCTCATCAGAAACAACAAAGTGCAGATGTGCGTACGAATGTTAGTAAGATATTAATTTCACAATGTAAACAGCTTTAGTGATTTTTAATGGGAGTTTTTGAGAGTGCTTGAAATCTGGGTAGACTTAAGTCAGTGATAATGTTTTTTTTTGATAATGCAAATGTTCTTTCCTGTCTTTCTGTACCATGAAAGTGTTATAATTAGTAACTTACAATGTTTTTATTAAATTCACATTAAATACAAAATTACTCGTATTAAAAATATTTTATGGCATGACACCCATATTAAGGCATGACATCCACTAAAGACGGGTTTTATACCTCCCCTCCCCTTAACTCATGCCACCACAAAAATAATGAGTGCATGACCCCCCCTGACACTACAATACAAAATAATTTGTCAGATAAATTAAACATATTAAAACATTCATTTGAGTTTAAATTGTTATAGCTTACTTTTAGAGATTGCAATGATACTTGACATGGTGAAAATTGACTGAATGAATCATACTGAAAGTAGGTTTAAATACATTTTAAAAGTGTGCACCCTAAAAGCGCAAGTGGCCCCTGCCTGGCCCCCCCAGTTACTGTGGTCTAGAACCGCCACTGTCGACCAACATAACATAACTGCACCAATTTTCGTTCATAATGTTTTATGTGCTCAGAAAAACCATGTGCGAGTGTCAACACTGAAACAATAGACAGCCTTATCTACTCACAAAATTGACACAAGCACAGAGGACATTAGGGGTTCGTCGATATAAGATGCATGATTTAGTAAACTGACCTTTATTCTCGGTATCTTCACTTCACGAATATGAAATATTGAATCGTTTTTCAGGTGTGGTTGTCAGGTATGAACTAAACCTGTCTGAAGCTGTTTCCGGACCCACCCAGGAACCACCCAGACATGTTGATATTTGACACCACCGGAATGTGGGCCTTTATAACAAGTTAACCACATTTCTGCGAAAATAGTTAGAAATGTCATCACATCATAAATTAAACAAAATGAAACATTGACGTCTTACACTGTTTGATTGAGATTCCATTTTTATGTCTTATGAAATTACAGCAACTGTAACAATAATTGGGGGAACTACAGTTAACATTGTAATATGCTATAGGATTATCTGAAAAATTCTGAATTACTGTACAACAATCTCTTGTCTAATACTTCAAGTGATCTATTGGTGGAGACAAATTTCCTTTATCATATTTTCTTTTTTGTATCTTTTATCATAATTGTATTTGCAAGATTACCAATGAGTCAAACTAAATGCATTAAAAAGGCATTGCGGTTTGAATCGTATAACTTACTGAATTAATTAAAATTCTTAGTTTACATTATAAAGGTTACAATTAAGTGTGCTATCTTGTCCAAAAAAAAAACTTTTTTTTTTAAACATTGACTAATTCATTTTACAGTATCTTTAAAAAAATTATAAATTAAAAACATAATTTAGCGACAGAAAAATACGTTTAAATGTTGTTGTTTTTTTACGTATTTAAAAGTAAGGATGACGTATGATTTCTAAATGACCCGGATAATCTTGTTCTGCAGACTGTCGTAGTCAGTCAGTTCTCATGATGCAGCGATCAACACAACGCAGAACAACAAACAAGAGCCCATCAACATGCGGACGCTGCAATCCCGTTTGGGTTTAGCAAACGACATCCTTCAAGTTGCATTCGTAAGTACACAAGTTTATGAGCCCTCATTTATGCATGCAGTAAATGTGTCATGCAATTTAGAACTCGAATTGATATTTCCAAAGCTAATTTAAATATACTCGCACGCTTTCCTTATTAACAGAAATGTATGCAACAATCATCCGTTGCCCTGTCTGACAGAGCGGAGACACAGGCTAATTAACTAATGTTTAATTAACTACTTGATAATGTTAATGACTAATTAACTACTTAGTCGACCTTGGTTGTTATTAATTGCATCACGCCCTGCTCTGTGTCATGCATGTGCTCCTTTTCAAAGTTTAGTATCGGTTTAGTTCGCAGTTGGATTCGTGTTTTTGAGAGAACTTATGTTTGGCTGTAGATTTGTGAATGTCAGTCAGATCCATGTCACCCAAATCATGATGACTGATGCACAGAGAAGCACGAGGAGCTGCAGAGGTCAGACTTCCTTCATTTAAAAAAGTCTTTAAACTGGATTAAATCGTATTTGGAAAATCTAGTTTGAAATGGTTTAAGGCGATTTTGGGATATGGAGCTGATTTCTAGTCAGCCTAAAATGGAATAAGGCATAAGCTGGTTATTAGCAGGTTGCCCGCTGGTTCCACAAACCAGCTTGACCAGCGATTTGTTTGCTGTAAAACCTGACATATGAAATAATAGTCAGAAAAATCTTTGAAATGCGAAGATTTGCATTTTGACACAATATTTAAAAAAAAAATCTCCACAAAAAAAAAAAAGGTTTGCAAATATTTCTTCTCATGACACACCAGCACCAGGCTTTTATGGCTCATGTAGAGCTCACACACCAGGGTAAGCATGATTTCACCAAGTACAACATGTTCCTGGATCAACATTACAATCAACCAATCAGAATTGAGGGAAACGTTTTCAAGAAATGTCAGTGTTAGGCTTACAATCAGGGTTTGATGCTTCTACACTCACCTATCACCTACCTAGCTTGTTGTATCATATTTGATCATCACACTTTAACATCCTTTTTTATTTATATAATTGATATAGATCATTTCAGTTTCTTCAGTCCAGTAAATGTTCATCTTGAAATATTACTAACAAAATAAAAGTTATTCTTACATTTACGTCCATAAAGATAAATGTATCACGACCTGTAATTGGGCATTGTCAAAATTATACTAAAAGGCCTCTTTCTTGCTAAAGAATTATGAGTTATCAGTCAGAGGGCAGAAGGCATGTATTAGACTTTGTACAAGAGGTTTTCCCGCAAAGTTTTGATCATGTTGATCATTTAGAAGCCTTAGAATTTAGGTTTAAGGTGGTCTGCCAGCTTGGACCAGCAAATAACCACTTTGGACCAAAAAAACAGCTACTATCTAACTGATTAATAAGTCTTGATTTGTATTGCTCCTGGTTACAGGTTTGAAGAATGACGATGGGTATGAAATTTCTATTCCCTTTGAGGATAATAGCCTGGATGAGTCTGGTTTCTATAATCAAAATGACCACACCTTCAATGGTATTAACTTCAGCCAACTTGTAACATGTTTATCAAAATTGAGGTGTACACTGTAGTATGTTTCAATGCTTCTGCAGAGTCGGCCTCCGGCCAGATTCCTCCTTGCAGTCCATACCTTCTGATTACCAGCCTCCGAGCACAACCGCAGATTTCTCTGGAAAAAAACTCCTGGCTGCAAAAACGCATCGAAGATCTGGAGGAGGAGAGGGACTTCCTGCGCTGCCAACTTGACAGATTCATTTTCACCACCAAGAATCAGGAGAGCACTGGCATGATTGGAAAAGGTAGCTTTAGATTGTACTTGTGCAATGTAGTGTCTTGTAATGTAATAATCTAATTGTAAAAAGTGTTATCTTTATTTAATTTAAGAAACGGAAGCAGAAGCTGAGCCTCAACCCACCACTCAGAAGCAGCTTTTATTTTGTTTTTAGACCTACTTTTTATTTTTTTCTAAATCAGTGTATGTTCAATTAAAATAAAAAATCAGTTGCACCAATCTCACTATTGCTAACTGCTTTGTCTTTAACGGTATTATTTTTATATGTTTGAAATGATATTGTAGTTTAAGATTTTAAAATTAGATTTTAATTTTAGATTATCATATTTTAATCTTTAGTTTAGTTTGTTTGGTTTTAGTTATTTTAGTGAGTTAATTTAAACTAAAAAATGTCACCATGGCAACTACCTGAATATTTTTAAATATTTTTATTTCAGTTAATTTTATTTAATTTTTTTCAAGTAATGAGAATTTGTATTTTTTTTATGATTTTAGTCTAAGTTTAGTCAACACTAATAACCCTACATTTCGTTATTCACCTCAGATCAAGAAGAGGAGGAGGTGATTGAGAAGGAAGAGTATATAGCGGAGGAAGACTATGTGGAAGAGGAGCAAGTTTTTACAGATGACGATGGGACCGAGAGTAATAGCTCACGTAAGTGTCGTTCAGGCTGGCAGAATAGCCAGACGAGGGTGAAAAGACGACGTGTCTTCCGTATCGCTCGAAGCATGGAAAGACAAAGAGGTGAGATTTTATTCATTTTTTTTTTTTTCAGCTTTTATATATTTCAAAGCAACTTCCTATATTTAATTATTGCAATTTTGTTTGTAGTTAAAGACCCTGCAGGTGTTCTGCTTCGCTACAATAAGATCCTTGTGACCTATCAGAAGTTGAAGAGTATGTCTAGAGCATTCCAGGTCCACGGGGTTGACCGAAACACTGTCGCCTCCACCACTCCTATCGCTGAAATGCTTTTGGTTGCTCCTGAGAAGGTATCTGAAGCTGGTGAGTTTGATTCCTCCAAGGAAAAGCTTCTGGATTATGCAAGACGCTGCTATAAAGCTCTTGACGAGGACGCTCACGCTAAGGTGCAGGCCTTGAAGAAGAACAACCTCTTGCTGCCCATTTCTTACAGGTTCAGACACTAAATTTCCACAAATATATTCCTTTTTTTTGGGGCCTTTTATGGGCTTTTTTTATTATTATTTTTTTTAGATCTACACATTTGGAGTGCAAAACTGTTCAAATCCCAACTCTGTGCCAACTCTGTGAATAATTGACAAAGTGTGTAGATTCCAAGAATGGCATGTTGACCAAATATTTGAACAAATACTGTACAGTTTTGAAAGTTAAAGAGAAAACATTTATTTGGGTAAATAAATAAAGGGAGAAGAACAATTGTGAGATAAATAGTCAGTCACTGTATATGAAGGGTTACCTGTCCTTATTTTGTATATATGCTTAAATTTCTTATTGTAAAGTTTGGAAACTCACTCCTTCAATATAAGCGACTTTGTCTTTGTTTGTGTTCATAAGTTGGGGATCATGCAAGACACCACTTTTCTTTAGTATCCTGACCCTTGTCATCACATTTGGACGACATATGTCAGGCTAAAGATTATTGAATAAAAATAAAGATCACAGCTTGCTGCCATCTAAAAGAAAGAAAGGAAATTGTCTTCCTAAATCATGTTCAGAGTTTCTAAACTTCTTTCTAAATTTGCTATCAAATAATAAAGGAGCAACTTGTTCTTTGATTAGTGGCCTTGGCTATAACAATCTGCAGTTATTTCCATGCAAAACGTAACGTACAAAAAGAGTAGTAGTTGATGGGCTCATCTGTTTATCATTGAAATCACTTGGTTTGAAGTGTAATGCTGTCTTATTAAATGACTGTGGCACACCAATGTGGTGTTATACTGTTTAAATCATATTAGATTTCACAATTGAGCATTACAAAAAAAAAATGCAAGCCCTTTCCTTGTTTGTAATATGGGACTACTTAAGCACTGTTTTTGTTTTTTTTGTTTTTTTGTGATTGACAAAAGGGAAAAGAAATGTAAAAGTCCGATCTTTGAGATTGTTTGTTGATTTAAAATATTATTTATGAGACAATGTTGTTCAACACGTTCCTTTAGTAGTTTATGGTATGCCTGTAGAAGATTAAATGTAATACTAAAACAGTGTTTTTACATTGCAACGTCCATTTAAAGGCTTGAATTACATTTTTGTTATTGTGATCATGTATTATTTTTCCTATTATTACTATTCATTTCAAAACTGTACCCTGCTGTTATTAAACATATCTCCAACACAGTATGAAAGAGCGTTCAGTCATTTTTTTAAATAAGAAATTTCACGTCTAATCTAAGATAAGCAAAGCTAAAATGACTATTTTGTATTTAATCTGTATCTATCTTTATGTCTGTATATAATCTATATATTTATGTTCTACTGTAGTGTTATCTGTATGCACCAAGGGTCTGAGACTAACGCAATTTCAATTCTCTGTGAGTATGTGCTGTACATGTGGAAGAATTGACAATAAAGCAGACTTGACTTGAAGAGTGGGTAGAAATGGAAAAAACTCCAGTCCTGTAGGGGACGCACTGCGCCAAAGCGCTTATTCGGAGTGTTTTCTGGTGTGAAGAAACGATCGGCGCATCCACCAACGCGGAGTAAGTGGTTAGCCTTTTTGGCCGAGACGGGCTAGATTTCAGCACGGTCAATAGTGGCAAAGAATAACATTTGACTATCAGGGAATATATATAAAGAGCAAATAATTAAATATAAGCGATTTAATCATCTATTTTGCCGACGCGAACCTTTTATTTACCTGCATCCTGCACTGGTCGGAGTTAGCATTAGCAGCTAACAATCCTCTGAAGCAAAGCGTTTATTTCGGTCTGAGCGAATTTACGTGTCTCGAAAACTATATGCTGGTGTTACATATTAAAACATCTCTGTTTTTGTAGTCCGCCCCTTTAAATAGCGTGTGACTGAGAAAGCTTTCTATACTTGAAAGTGCGTGTTAACGGAAGTTTCTGCTTCAGATCTAAACGCCAGGATGTCTGATTTTGATGAATTTGAGAGACAGCTTTCTGAAAACAAGCAAGGTAAGTATAAATGTGCACTACTGACTGCAATGAACCGTAATCACTTGCGTAACATCGTCATAACAAAACATGGTGTCTGTTGTCAGTATAAATAGTCCCATATTGATCGACGGTAATGAAACTCATTCAGCACTTTAAGTATACTGCTTGTTTATGCTTAACCTATAAAGAAAAGAGATCTAGGAAGTTGTAAATATGCATAAACATTTGATAATGGGCCATTTTTGCTATTTACTGACTGGATTCTTATTTAATTTATGCACAGTTGTTTGGATAAAGGTGTCAACAAAAGCTCAATGTACTTCTAATAAGTCATATATTGTTATAATGTTCTGTAGTCACAATTAATTCTTTCAAAACACGCCTCTACAATAAGTGCTGATCGAGTTTTATGTTTGATATCTCGGCTCACTTTATTTTTTTTGTGTTAATGGTCCTAGAAATTACATGCCATTTAAAGCTTTGACTTTTTTGTCCTACATGATCAGCTTGTAACTATAGACACCGTATTGTTATCAGATCACCTGTCATTAGTGACACATTCTGTTTGGAGGACTTATAAGACGTTTGCGATAAGTTGCTATAACTTCCTGTTCGCACCATTTATTCTGTTGTTGTCCTGTTTATTTTTGTGAAGCTGCTTTGAAGCAAAATATATTGTATAAAGCCCTATATTAATACAAGTGATTTGACTTTACCTCTCTCATTCTCTTCTGCGCAGGTGACAGTCTAAACGGTCATGGTGGGTATCCCAGAATGAGGTGTAGAAAATCATGTATAACCTGTCTCCTTCCTTTCCATCTAATCTTCCTTTTTTCCTCTAGATACTCACTGTGACAACTGCATAATATTGTGCCAGATTTCTGTATGTTCTTTAAATCTGCAGCTGGAATGCTTTTTTTTTTTCTTCATTTTTTTTCCTATTTATTTCCTTACTCCTGTTTGCTTCAGCAACTTTGTCTCATGTTTTTCATGTCTTCGTTCTGTCTTAGAGCGGGACAAAGAGAACCGGCACCGGCGACGCAGCCCATCACGCAGCCGCAGCCGAGAGAGGAAAAGGAGAAGCAAAGAGAGGAGAAGCAGGGAACGCCGCAGTGACAGCAAAGACCGCCGCCATAGACGCAGGTGAGAGTTGTAGTCATGTTTTAACATGACTGTCATCATTGTAAAAGGCTCCTCAATCAGGATCTCCAGCACAGTGTAAGAGCTTTAGGCCGGTTGATGTAAATGCATATTTAAACATCTGACTTTCTGCTAGTTATTGAAGCCTTGCTAGCAGAATCAAATCTTATTGTTGAGCCCTGTTGCAATAGATGCTGTAAATACAATATGAATCACTTCATGCCTCTAATGTAAATCTGAAGTAGTCCACAGTAATCAAGAATAAAGCAAGTTACCCAGTAAAAAAAATGAGTCCTGCCCTTAAACCTCAACCAGTTGTTTTATAGACGTGGTTTAAGCTACTGCAAAGTAGCTACATGTCAAACCCTGTTCTTAAATGTCATTTCAGTGATCATACTCAGAACCATCCCCAAGAAAATGTCAGGTAATACTGCTGATGAGCTGACCCAGTTATTATTATAAATTATTATTATTTTTTTTTTTTTTACATCTTACAAATCCAAGTGTTGTGATTTTTGAAGCCATTTGTCAGATGAATTAGTACTCTCATTTCTGTGTTAAAGGCATAGTTCACCCAAAATGAATATTTGCTAAAACAAATTTCCCCACCACCAGGACATGTTGAACAAGATGTAGATGAGTTTGTTTCATCATCAAAATTTCACCATTTTGATCAATTTAGCATGACGGCATTACTTGCTCACCAGTGGATCCTCTGCAGTGAATGGGTGCCGTCAGAATGAGAGTCCAAACAGCTGATAAAAACATCACAGTAATCCACAAGTAATCTACATCACCCCAGTCCATCAATTAACAATGTGAATTGAAAAGCATTGCTTCAGGCTCAAATATGAGTCCTCTATCCATAATATTGCTTTCTCCAGTGAAAATGGTTTCTCATCTGAATCAGGAGTAAAATGTGCACAGATCAAGCACTGTTTATAACCGAAAACAGTCCAAAGCAAATATGTCGGTGGATTTTGATGTGAGAGAACAACAGGGGTTGGTCTTTTCAGTGGAGGAAGCATTATTTTAGACTATATTTTGGCCAGCAGCGAAAGTTTAAAGTTAAAACAGCTTAATAATAGATTTGTTTCTTACACAAACACAGCTTTTTGCTTTGACAGATATTGTTGGTTGAATGGAGTTGTGTGGATTACTCGTGAATTGTTGTTAGGTTTTTATCAGCTGTTTGGACACTCATTCTGACGGCACCCATTCACTGCAGAGGATCCATAGGTGAGCAAGTAATGTAATGCTAAATTTCCCAAAATCTGTTCAGATAAAGAAACAAACTCATTTATATCTTGGATGGCCTGAGGGCGAGTAAATTTAAGCCAGTTTTCATTTTTGGGTGAACTGTTCTTTTAAAAGCCTTCTCTATGTGTGGTATTATTATGTTTGGTCAAATCTTTTTAAACAGTACTAATTGTAACAGTTGTAGTTTATTATTATTTATATAATTATTATATTTTATATAAAAAAAAAATTATTTTATTTTGTGTTTTTAATTTCTCTGCTTTTCACAAGGATTTTAAGGGATAATATAAAATATAATAATGTCCTAGCTCTGTCAGATAAAAGTTAGTAATCATCATATTCTTGAACATTTAATATACCAGTTAGATGCGAATGAATTAACTTCAATTCTTTTCTTTTTCTCTCTGCCTTTCTGTAAATCAGCCGTTCTCCTCAACGGGAGAAAAAGAAGATCAAAATTAAGAAGTACTGGGATGTACCGCCTCCTGGCTTTGAGCATATTACACCCATGCAGTACAAGGCAATGCAAGGTGAGGGACATGGCATAAATCACTACCGTGTATCCACTCATTTTATTCACTAAGTAGAGGTGTGTTATACCGGTTGAAACGATGCACAGAAATGTGTAGAAAGTTTTATTGCTATATGAATTTGAAACTCATATCATCCACCCCTGTCACTAAATCTTATTTATTCTCTCTCTTGCTTTCGGTTTATTTTATTTATTTACAAACATCTCTTGATAATAACAATAGCATTTAATCATTCATTTTCTTTTGTTAATGCAGTTATTTTCTCTCTCTCCCTCAGCTGCTGGTCAGATCCCCGCTACCGCATTGCTGCCCACCATGACGCCGGACGGCCTGGCAGTAACGCCAACCCCAGTGCCCGTAGTGGGCAGTCAGATGACTCGCCAGGCTCGCAGACTTTACGTTGGCAACATCCCATTTGGCATCACAGAGGTGTTAAATGAACATTATTCACATACTAGAATTACTCTGCAGGGCTTTGGAGAACAGATCCACATAGAGAACGCTGGCTCAATGTATTCTGCATTAGCATATTGTACATTTATTTGTGTATTCTCATTTCCTCTATTTTTACATTTAGATTACACTTGCCCTCATCTAACGCTCACTTAAATTTAATCTTTAAAAACACTAATAAAAATGTACAGTTTCGAAAATCTAATTTAATCTAATCCAAAAAGTTTATTTTTTCTTATTTATTTAGACAAACCATAAATAGTGTACACTTTAATCGGTGCATCCATTATAACATTATGAATGTCCATGCATTATATAACACACTCAAAACTTTTTCAATGACTTACTTAACACTCTTCTTCATCAGGAATCTATGATGGACTTCTTCAATGCCCAGATGAGACTCGGTGGTCTAACTCAGGCCCCAGGAAACCCTATCCTCGCTGTCCAGATTAACCAGGACAAGAACTTTGCTTTCCTTGAGGTGGGAATTGCCTGTATACACTGACAGACGCTTATATTTCTAATGAATAGGTAAGCTGGTTTCCTTACAATTTTCCTCCTATCAATTCTTCAGTTCCGATCGGTGGATGAGACCACTCAGGCCATGGCATTTGATGGCATCATCTTCCAGGGGCAGAGTTTAAAGATTCGCCGGCCACATGACTATCAGCCGTTACCTGGCATGAGTGAGAACCCCAGCGTATATGTCCCGGGTACGCACACTTTACATTTCACATTTCGTAATTTGAGATCTCAGATCACAACAAACATGACATTGATTATAAATGGCTTCAGCATACATTTGTATTACGTTCTCATTTCCAGGTGAATGGATTTTATTTAAACTTGGCCCTAAGAAAATTAGCCTGTTCCCACACTGTTATTTCTTTTCTCTTCATTTCAACCCTCTCATTTTAGTCTTTTAGTTAGGGCTGCACGATTAATTGAAATTAAATCACGATTAGGCAGAAGCTGCGATTGCCATGCGTATCTTTCAGTGAAGCACGGTTCTGTGATCAGCAGTAAATCTCCATCCGAAGGCCAGAGGGATGTTCTTGCACGGAAACTCCAAATACACCTTGCAGAAGAAACCCAGGAAATGCTTATAGCGGTTGCTAAATAAACAGAAGATTTAACTGCTTTCATTAATTCAACGTGACTAAAACACACGACTACAACAATATATGGTTTATCTGAGTTTGTCTTTTATAATTTTATTATAATAAAGTATATAATAATGCAATGCTAATCGACATAGTATTCTAAGCAGTGATAAAGACTATGTAATATGTTGCGTGCCTTATTCTGTGTAAGAAACCGCATCATCTCACAGAAGGATTTATTTCAAACACTAGACTGATGTTATGAAGTAAGTTTGGAGTAAAAACATGTTATTAAATGTAGTATTTTCACGTGCTTTCAGATGGAGCAGCGTTTACTACACAGAGCCGTTGTTCACTGACAAGCTATGCAAACAGCTTTCATAATCGCGCGATTATGAAAGCTGTTTGCGTAGCTTGTCAGTGAACTACGGCTCTGTGTAGTAAACACTGCTCCATCTGAAAGCACGTGCTGGAGATTTACAACTAATCACAGAACCGGCTTTACTGACAAGATACACATGACAATCGCATTCGATTAATCGTGCAGCCCTACTTTCAGTCTATGATTCTCTTCCTTTTCTTCTGTCAGTCAATTATCTGTTAATGACTGTTCTCCATCTGCTCCACAGGTGTGGTGTCCACTGTTGTACCAGACACTATTCACAAGCTTTTCATTGGTGGTTTGCCAAACTATCTCAATGACGACCAGGTTGGTTACAAACGGTTTCTGTTAGAAAGTCTATATAACACATATATTATGTCAAAGCATATTTTAGCTAATTTTATCAAGACTTTTTAGATAAAAGAGCCTAATGAAAATGACCATGAAAACTCAGTTACCTTTTATTGTAAAAAAAAAAAAATCTATATATATAAACTAAACCAGTAGTTTTTGACCAGGGCCCATTAGGGGGCTTTAGGAAACTTTCAACGGGGCCTCAAGATGGTTTAAAATAAGATAAAGCAAGCTTTAATATAAGCTAAAACTTATATAAGGAAATTTCTTATTTTAATTCACCCCTTCAACAACTGTATTTTTCTTTAGAAAACCAAGATTCCCATGGTTTTGGAAAACCTGGATATGTGAAGTAGCCTGATTTTTATAATGTGATTTGTAGACCTGGAAATGGTCATGTTAATTAATAAAATATTAAAACACCATGGGCATTTTTATAATGAATATACATTTTTCTTGAGTACATTTTTTGAAATCCTTACTCTTAATTCTTGTCCAGTAAATCATAAAAAAGTCATGGGGCCTTCAAATTTTGTTGTGGACAATGTGGGGCCTTGGGGTCAAAAATGTTGAGAATCACTGCACAAAAAAATGAGTAAGTGATATTGAAATAATGAGCTAGTTGGATAGACTGCATTATTCCTAAACACCATAAGAACTAACAGTAATATGTGGTAAAGTTTGCCCAGCTTTGTGCTTGTCTTGGGTGTGTGTAGCTCTTCACACTCTGCATGTCCTTTTGAAGGATCCCCACATGAAAATGAGCAGCAAGGGTTAATTATTTAAAAGGTCCCTAATTTCTGTCTTTTTTGTATAGCACATTTCAGCACAGATTGTTTATGACAACAATGTCATGCATGCATAATTGACACAAAAGCAAACTCACAGCAGAAAATGGTCATGGAAACTTGTTTTGTCCTGCTTTTATTAGGTGTGATGTAGCCGTTTGAATTTGTTTTATGTCCTCAGGTTAAAGAGTTGTTAACCTCTTTTGGACCTCTCAAAGCCTTCAATTTGGTTAAGGACACTGCTACCGGCCTCTCAAAGGGCTATGCTTTCTGTGAATATGTGGATGTTAACATCAATGATCAAGTGAGTTGGCATGGGTAGATTTTCCGCGGTATCCATGGATTTTAACATAATTTGGCCCACTTTAACAAAGTTAATCCATTAATATTTTTTTCCAGGCTATTGCAGGACTGAATGGTATGCAGTTAGCAGATAAGAAGCTGCTGGTTCAGAGGGCAAGTGTAGGAGCCAAGAATGCCACAATGGTGAGCATGGAATTCAACTTAAAATATTTAGCTCCTCCTGCTCAAAAGTTTGTGGTCAGTAAGATATTTTGTTTTTGAAAATCTCTTATGGTCACACGTTTTAATGAAAACCTTTTTTTTATTTTTATTTTTTTATTCTTTGATGAATAGAAAGTTTTTAAAAAAACATTTATTTGAAATAGAAGTATTTGTAACAATATAAATGTCTTTACAGTCACTTTTGAACAATTTAACTATCTGAGAAAGTTGTTTATTTTTTCCAAATGATTTCAAGATCTAGTCATAACAGCAGAGCATAAATCATTGGCAAATGAAAGTGTGCTGGATTGTCTATATAAACTTCTCTTAAAGGGTTTTATTGGTTTGTCTTATTTCATCCCTCAAAAATACACAAGTACTTGAAAATAAGTGTTTAGTGTTATTTATATACTATTATAGTATTTATAAATCTTTTGAATTGACAATTTTTTTCATCTAAGTTTTAATAATTGTCTTTTTTTCCCCTCCCGTCTAATTTTCTAACATTTAAAAAAAATTTTGTCTGTTTATTTTCCTTTAGCTTTATTTAAATTACAAAAAAATAATAATAAAACAAAATAAAATAAAAAAGTTTTAGTTATACTGTTGAAGATTTGAAAAATGTCAAAGTGTTTGGTTTTTATAATTACTATGTCATTCTTAACTGTTTATATACTAACATTAGGTAAAGACTATTTAGGTTAATTTTGCATGTCAGAGGAACCTGGGGGGTATTCCAAAAAACAGGTTATGTGACATACCCGGGTATGTTTGAGGATAAGCGAGCGGAGAACCTCAGCTTTTGGTTCCAAAATCGGAGGCTACTTTCAGGGTATGTAATTCGATTCTAAAACTTGCAAAACACTGTGAAATGGGTTGGTGCACACCTCAGGACCCTCAAAATTCTGGCAAAACGCAGGATTCTGATGACAGCGACTCAGAGGTGGAGTTTGGACCTCCCCACAAGGTACGCCTATGGCCCTATGATTCCGTGAAAACACGGATGGAATTGCTAAATCCAGTCAACGGAATTTACTATCTGTAAATATTAAGCCGCAAAAAGACTATTTAAATATAAATCCTGCATGTTCTGTGTCTGTCTGAATCATAGTATATGGTCTGAAGGAATGTGACGCGGTTTTGTTTACTACACACTTACTGAAGCGGCCTGAGGCTCACAGTGATTTCAGCAACTGCCTTCTCACTAAATAGGACATAAATACCTGAACAACACCCCCAGAACTGCTCTGTCAAAAAATATATAGTTTCTACCAGAAATGTATTACTATTGTTCAGTAGAATGTATGTACAACTACTAGTACTAAAATTATTAAGGAATAATCACAATAATTCTTCCATGTTTTAATTTGAATTGTAAATCCACTTTGTTTGCCAGAAAATAAAATGTGTTTAATTTTCATTAATTAAAAGATAAATTCAGTTAATGTTATGCCTTCATTCGATAACCAGAAGAACTTCTAAAGAAAAAAAAAACATTGCACAGGGCTATAAATAAAAGTAGTTTTTATGCATTCAAATAATTAGACATATTCCGTGAAAACACGGATGGAATTGCTAAATCCAGTCAACGGAATTTACTATCTGTAAATATTAAGCCGCAAAAAGACTATTTAAATATAAATCCTGCATGTTCTGTGTCTGTCTGAATCATAGTATATGGTCTGAAGGAATGTGACGCGGTTTTGTTTACTACACACTTACTGAAGCGGCCTGAGGCTCACAGTGATTTCAGCAACTGCCTTCTCACAAAATAGGACATAAATACCTGAACAACACCCCCAGAACTGCTCTGTCAAAAAATATATAGTTTCTACCAGAAATGTATTACTATTGTTCAGTAGAATGTATGTACAACTACTAGTACTAAAATTATTAAGGAATAATCACAATAATTCTTCCATGTTTTAAAAATTTGGAAAATGTCCAGAAAAATTTTAATGGGAAAAAAAACAGAATTCAAAAAAATGTGAATTTGGAATAAAAAAAAAAATTTTTGTTAAACTTTTTAATAGATTTGATGTTGAATTGTATACGTTTCATTATTTAATTAGACGTGCTTTTGATTAATAAAATTTAATTTAACCATTTAAAAAGGAGTCCAGAAAAATTTTAATGGGAAAAAAAACAGAATCCAAAAAAATGTAAATTTGGAATAAAAAAAAGAAAGAAATTTGGGTAAAAATAAAACGGATTTCATAGGGCCCTAGCATAGTTATTTATTTATTGTGGTGATTTGAAGGTTGTGTCAAAAAGTTGTTCTAGTCTAGTACATAAATAGCTGTATTCTGTACGTTTTTAGTCGTGTATGATCATTTTCTTCCAAATACGATCATTTTGAGATTCTGGTACGATACTTGGACATTTCCAATCTGGCAACACTTACACCAACCATCCCTCGCTATGCACGGAAGCTGTCAAGCACTGCGTGTAGATTGACAGCTTCTCATACCCAATGAGAGAAAAGCACCGATGGCTGTTGCCCAATGGCGTCTCAGTGGGCGGGGCCACAAGCTTCCAGCGCACCAGCGGAGGAGGTGTTCCTGGCGGCCATCTTTGAAGCGAGAAGTGATTGTTTGGCGAATAGAAATAATAGGAAATAAAAATATAGCGTGAGAAGTTGGGGAATTGTGGTGGAACTGAAGAGGATATTAAGAGGGAGAGTGAAACTCAGGTAAATCAGGTAAAACATCCTCGCAGCGTGGGAGCGTCACTCCAATTACGTGCTGCTTTTTTTCTTTTCCTTTCCAATTTGTATCACAGCCAAAAAAGCTCGAACCGGTCGCGTTTACTACAGGCTCGAGCGCTGCTTGCTGGAACCGAGCTTTCTAACTCCTCTGAAGTGTTAATATTATCGCATCAGTGTCTCAGCATGTAGAAAAAGTAGAGTGCGTGCAAATTAAGTTGGGTAGGAGAATATAAAAGAAGCCACATGCCTGGAAAGACAGTGGCAGTCTCTGGTTTCATATTCCTGAAATATTATTTAGTAGAACCCAGCTTGCTCTAAATGAGATTTTATCACCCGGACTGTGAGATCTGTTTTTTTTTTTTAGGTTTACTCTAAACTGATGGAGGCTCAGCTCTCAAACTGCCAGCTGTTGTGTTTGCACGCGCTACATTGTTGCGAGAACTCGAATGGATGCGCGAGACTGTGTGGCAGAGAATTTTGATTGACATGCTGCTGCTGTCATCCTGACTGTTTATATTTTATATGATGATCAGGACTTTGGTGAATGAATAGCAATTTGTGATGCACTATTAGCTTTCTGCTTTAGTCACACATGTACTACCTAGTCTTTATTGAAGTGCATGGATGCATGAAATCGTGTCTTCGTTGTGGCAAATTAAGCTGATGCATCTTGCTCAGTTGTGTGTGGACGGTGTAGTCACGGTGTTTCATTATTTCATTTTACATTGTCGTCTAATTTGTTATACCTTTCAAATGTGTATTTGCATTGCATGTTTTCACTGACCAGGAGCAGGTTAAGTCAAAAGGCAATTATGTTGGTATTTTGACAACAACCAATTCCATCTCTGACTATATGCACTGTAACTAGTCTTAGCTTTGACAGTGTAGTACCAGAGACATTTGTGTGTGATAGCCCCTTCAGGCCCTTTTAAAGGACTATTTAATCAATCATTTATAAATGCAGGCTTCAAAGTATGCTTCTTGCTGTCATGTGCAGTTACATCAAGAACTTGTTTATTTACTGAAGAAACATAAACAACCTTCCTACAAAACTCCAGGTCTTACAATCTCTGCATCATAATTGGTCTTCAATTTATAGGAGTAGTTCCTTCAAAAAATGAAAAAGTTCTGAAAATGTACTCACTCTCAGGTCATCTAGAATGTAGATGAGTTTGTATCACAATATCCATGTGACGTGAAAATCTGTGTGTTTGTAATAAGAATAAGAACCCCCAAATGCTCCCCGGGCGCCGCAGCAATATGGCTGCCCACTGCTCCGGGTGTGTGTTCACGGTGTGTGTGCGCACTTGGATGGATTAAATGCAGAGCACAAATTCTGAGTATGGATCACCATACTTGGCCACACTTCACTTCATTCTGACGGCACCCATTTAATGTAGAGGATCTATTGGTGAACAAATGATGTAAGGCTAAATTTCTCCAAATCCATCTTGAATGGCCCGAGGGAAAGTAACTTTTCAGCATTTTAGGGTGAATTTTTCCTTTAACAAGCAATTCTTGTTAGGGATGCGCCGATCCGATATTCATATCGGGTATCGGTCAGAGAGGGCCGATCCAAATCCGATAATTTTTATTTATTGTTTTTCCCGATTGTGCGAATTATTCTGAGTTACTTCTGAAGCCATACGATAGCTTAATGTGAGCTACATATGAATATTTAAGTCCTTTACTTTAAAGTTCACACAAACTCTTTTCTCCGCTGTGGCTGTCAGTCATTTGTTCAGCCTTTAAACCCTGGCGTGCTTGTGTGCATCCCAACAAGTAATTTAAGCGTACAAATACATTTGACCAGACATCCCTGTCTGCACATGATTGGTATTTGATGCTGATAAACAAATTATTTCTAGATTTATTTACTTGATACATGTGCAATTGGATGATCTAACCTCAATGATTTAGATCTGGTTTATTATGCAGATGTTTGAAGACATTTTTGTAAAATTATGCCCAACTCTTCAGAACTGGCGTTCAGCCTTTAAACCCTGGCGTGCTTGTGTGCATCCCAACAAGTAATTTAAGCGTACAAATACATTTGACCAGACATCCCTGTCTGCACATGATTGGTATTTGATGCTGATAAACAAATTATTTCTAGATTTATTTACTTGATACATGTGCAATTGGATGATCTAACCTCAATGATTTAGATATGGTTTATTATGCAGATGTTTGAAGACATTTTTGTAAAATTATGCCCAACTCTTCAGAACTGGAAAATTGCCCTTTGTGTTGGAGGTATTTTCATTAAAATTAGTAACATGTGTAGCACATTTTCATTGAATGCTTTATGGATGATGTAGGTGAAAAGAGTGTGTAATTTATTCAGTGTTAAAATAGCTTAACTTATTCCAGTTTAATGTAAGGAAACAACGTAATTGTAAGCTGTTTGTAGATGACTTCAAAAACTGTGGCTCTGTAGTGCTTTAAAATTGTTGACATAATGTAAGTATTTTATCTCAGCCAGTGCCATGGAGTTTTTTGTTTGTCTGTGTTTTCTGTACAGTTATTTGCAGAGGTTTCCACACTATTACTTATTTATTTTACTATTATTATGTTTTTTTCTATTATAATGATCTAACCTATTTCAGAAAACACTGCCACTAAATGGCAGATAAAAACAAAATTTGGTTTATTGGCATGTGGAATAAGTAGGGGAGAGCTTTTTACTTGTGGTATCTTTAAAGTGAGTGCATGACAGTAGTGTCCGATTAAAATATGCACATACATTTCAGGATGTGGTGCATGCTTGGGAATAATCACTTTGGATCTAAAATAAACTGCTTTCAAAATATGACTTTCCAAAAAAAAAGTGGTCTCTTGGCTCAACTTACCCCCAGTGAGGGGTAAATTGGGCCAAGAGAGAAAATAAGTTGCGCCACATGGGGTTAAAATTTGCCATTGATTATGCTGAAGTAAAACATTTTCACCTTATGCTATATCAAAGAAAGAGAAATTCAATAAAAAATGATTCTTAAAATCTGTGTGTCAGCCTTGTGATGGACCGGACATCCATCCCAGGGTGTTTCCCCGCCTGTGGCTCAAGACACTGGGTTAGGCTCCAGCTCCCCTGATCCTAATAAGGACAAAGCAGTTTGGATAATGGAATGGATGGATGACTTCTTAATATATTTATTTAAAGATAAAGTTCACAACTTTAAAGACATTTTTTAAATTATTAAATAAATTCGGAACAAAATAAAGTTCAAATTGAAGAGAAAAAAAAACTGACAGCAAGTGACCTTACAGAACCAGGCTAATACTTAACTTCTATAAATGCTGCAGGGAAAGAAAATTTCATAAAATCTTCAGTGGCCAATTTTCTTCAACAAGGCTTATTTAAAACATTTCTGAACAAAATCAGATTCAAAACAAAGAACAAAAATGTTTGGTCTAAA